ATCATGATATTGGGGAGGCTTCTCAGACAAAGCAGAGTTTGATGATAGCTTTGAAGAACAGTAAGATTTTGCTGGGTTAACAAGATTTTGCTGGGTTAGAGGTGAGAGACAGAGTCTTAATTTTTAAGCAGCAATTGACTTATGCTGACCACATACCAGCTTCTGTGCAAGATATTTATTCACTGCTCAAGCAACGTGTGCTGCATTGAGCTTAGAGCCTCGGGAACTCAGATGGTAAGAACACGCTGGTCTGTCTGCCTCATTTCATGGGGCCGCAAACTGAGGCTAAGTGAGTAGCTGGTCAGTGGCTATGCTGGGATGTTTAGTGTTGGTGTTCTGGTCCTAACTGTTGTACTTCACCAACCCCAGCACTGGAGTGCAGATATTCAGCAGGAAAAACACAGAAGGCCCATCCAGGAGACAGAATCTTGGCCACCCTACCAAAGACCAATTGGGCACTAGACCTCAGGTCTATTGTAGTTGTCTGAGACCCATTCCTTTGTAACAAAACACTTGTGTGAGAAAAGATGACATTTCTGTAGCCTGAAAATTCACACCTCATACAAGCAGTATTTATTGTTTTTCTCCCTGCATATTACAATCTGCATTGACATTATTAAGGAAATCACATGGACCCAGAAGAAAAAGAATCCAATTGATTATTTTTATTGCTGTAGAAGTCTTTTGTAGGCAGGCTGGGCAGAGACCCAATTTCATTCGCCTGTAATACTGCAAACGCTGTTAATTGCCTGTCTTTAGGAAAGGATAGAGACAAAGGAACAATCAAAGGTATTTATTAGAAATTCTGTTTGGGGAAATTAGCTTCACATTTCACTGGCCTTCATCTCAGGGCAGAGCGCCACAACTGTGCCTTAATAAATGGCAGTCGTGACATCACCTTTCCTACTGTTTGTACAGTTGTTTCCAGCGATGCCACCACCGTACTGTGGAATTGATTATTTTCAGGCTGATTTTTTTTTCCCCGCAGAGCTTGAGTTATCAGTGGTTTGCTATTCAATTCAATTTAGTTGTTATGACAGTTGGAATAACTACATTGCATCTTAATGTGTTCGTCTCATGCATAAACCACATTGTTTGCCAAGCAATAATGAGTGGAGAAGCTGCTAAGAGACTGAAAATCGGTCTTCGAGGGCTGGTCTTATAAGCTGGAAAGTGGGAATTCATCAAGCATCCGAATGTCTCATGGACCCTGGTTTTGATTCTGGGGTTCAGAGACCATCAGAATATGGGTCACGTGCTTGGTGCTTAGTGGATCTTTGCTGACACAGTATCTCTTTAATGTTTGTGTATGTTGCCTTCACTCTATAGTCCAATGAGCATTTTTTTTTTTTTTTTTTTTTTTTT